GACCATTTCATGAAAACCTCTCTAAGGTTCTCATTGGTCTCGGACGTGTGTCAGCCTGATGGCCAAACCTACCGGCTAAGAATAGAAGTGACGTAGTCTCATAGGCCAATCAAAGTGGTATTGCCAGAAGAGAGAATGGACGCTGGGCACACAAAACTCCTCAGATATCTACTAGCACTGGGGTAATCATATGACTTATTGTCCAGCCATGACTCTCTCAGAGGAGAGTGAAAGAGGGCACCTTTAATAGTTATACCAGTTCAACAGGTTTAGGCCAAGACTTTCCTGGGAAAGTGTTGTCACCCTACCTAGAATAGCCAAGGGCCAGGGAGCCAGGGGGCGCTGCCCTATCTGAGCCCTGGATCCTGCAAACCCAGTCCATTTGGCTGTCTGGGCACAGCTAGGAGAGGGGAAGGTCCTCAGAGTTCAGAGCTCATGTGGGTGAGGGCGAAGACGCACTGCAAGGCAAGTCCCAGTGCTCCACATCCACTCACACCCTACTCTTTTTTTTTTTTAATGTTTTTTATTTATTTTTAGGAGAGAGAGAGAGAGACAGTGTGAGCAGGGGAGGGTCAGAGAGAGAGGGAGTCACAGACTGAAACAGGCTCCAGGCTCTGAGCTGGCAGCCAGCACAGAGCCCGACGCGAGGCTCGAACCCACGAACCGCGAGATCATGACCTAAGCGAAAGTCGGACGCTTAACCGACTAAGCCACCCAGGCGCCCCAACTCACACCCTACTCTTGTCCCACAGCCTCACCCCAACCTCCCGCTACCATGCCTCATTGGTACTATGTCCCCTCCACGGGCTGGGAATGCCCCTCCTCTACTCTTCTTACTCTACCCTCCAGCAGAGTCCCCTTACATGCCCCCAACCCCGGGTCTCAGCTTTTTCTCAGCTCCTGGAGCACTTCCAGATTCGGCACAAGCTATGTTTGGGGCACTGTTCCTGTCTGCACCATGAGGTAGGGTTTTTTGTGAGTCTTGGTGTCTCCCCATCCCCCCACCACACTGCCTTCAGCAGTGCTGACCAAACACTCCTGTCTGGACCAAGACCCTCAGCCCAGAGCCCTTTCCCCCTCCCCACTGCCCCCCTGTCCCCATGTTCCTGGTATCAGATCAATCGATTGCTAGGAAATCCTAGCCAAAGATCTTCTCACGCAAAGGCATGTAAACTTTGACCCTGGATGGGCTGTTCAGCTCCATGCTAAGGCCCTCTAACCACCTGCTTGCCTCCCTCTTTCTCCGCCTGGTGATTTGGAGGCCCCTTTGTCTTGTGGGCTATTCACTGAGACAGGGCTTGCTCATGAGAAGTGCAATGCCTCCTGTAAGCTCAGTGCTCTTGTCCAGGAGTCTGGGGAAATGGGGGCCCCTGACCCAGGGGCTGAGCCTATCCACCTTTGGACCCCTGAGGCTTTTTGCTGGTAATCTGGGGCAATAAATCATGGTGGGTAGAGCCAGGAAGGAAGAGACCAGAGTTCTAGACTCTGATTTGCCACATCTCCTTGGTTGGGCCTTCTCCTTTCTGGTGCCAGAGAAGTGGGAAAGAAATTGACTAATCATGGGGTGCCTGGGTGGCTCAGTCAGTTAAGCGTCTGACTTTGACTCAGGTCATGATCTCATGGTTCATGGGTTCGAGCCCCGTGTTGGCCTCTGTGCTGACAGCTAGCTCAGAGCCTGGAGCCTGTTTTGGATTCTGTGTGTGTCTCTCTCTCTGACCCTCCTCTGTTCATGCTCTCTCTCTCTCAGAAATAAATTTTAAAAAATTAAAAAAAAAAAGAAATTGACTTAGTTAGCTAATGAATTTCTTTGGGGTCGAGAGCCCCTTAGAGAATGTGAGCAAAGCATCTTCTACCAAGAGGAGTTTGCTGGCTCCCTGCCCGGAGCCCCAATAGACAGTTTTCCATCCCTGATGAGCAGGCTGCCATGATTCTGTAGAGCATAGGTGGGGACTCTGGGAAGCCAAGGGAGAGACTGGGCTGCAGAGCTGGACAGGGATCTGGGGGTGCCTTGCTCCTTGCTTCCTTGTCACGGTTTCCATATGGGTTCTTTCTACTCTCTGTGGCTCCAACTCCAACTGAGATAGAAGGACAGAACTTTCCTGGGTACCAGGAAGCTCCTCAAGCTGAGCCAGAGGTACGGAAGTGGAATGAATGGAAGGATGCTAGGCAGAATGGAAGCCCGTAACTCCCTTGTCTCCTGCCTCTCCTTTTGCCTAAATTATAGCATTAGCACTTGGGGCTCAATATCAGCCAGGTAAATGTAACTCCTTTACCGATTATTAATATCTTGCAAAGGCTTGACTTAGCAATCTATTTCTCCCAAGTTGGTGTTTGTTCTGTGTTAAGGCATGGAGGGAGGAATGACAGGTTGGGTTGGGGTCATAGCAGGGGTCAAGTGTTCTGAGAATTACCATGGGAGAGTGTTGGAAGCACAGATCAGGAGACACCAAACTAGCTGTGGGGAGGATTTGGGGTGGGGTAGGGGCTTCCCAAGCAAAGTTTTAGCTGAATTTCAAAATAGGGGAGATTAGAAGTAGAGGTGGTCAGGCCAGGTAGGTTCTACTAAAGATTCTGGGTTTCGTTCAGATGGGAGCTACTCAAGGGGCATGGTTGTGACAGAATGAGATTTTCCATTTTCAGAAAGACCGTTTTGGATCCAACATGCTAGAGAAGGAATTGGAGGGAGCCAGAGGCAAGTGGGAACCAGGTTTGGAGACCATTTTTACTCTAGGGAGCAATGATTCGATCCTGGCCAAAGATGCACAGTAGGGCTGCTAGAGTGGAGAAGTGTGTCCTCCACATAGTCTATCCTCAGCACAGTAGCCAGAGTGATCTTCCTTGCCTCAGACCCCACAATGTGTCTGTTTCACACAGAGATGTTTTTAGTGCTCCTGGTACTGCTCCCTCCCAAAGACCACCCTTAGGGGCCGTTGAATGTGCTGTTTCCTCAGCCCAGTGCACCCTGCTTCCAGATATCTGTGCGTCTTGAGTCTTGATTCCACGCTCCTGCCTCTGCTCAGTGTCATTTTCTCAGGGATGCCTTCTTTGATCACCCTATTTTTTAAAATTAGGTTCCATGCTCCAAGTAGGGCTTGAATTCTCAACCCAGGAGATCAAATGTCACATGCTCCACCAACTGACCCAGCCAGGTGCCTCTGACCACCAATTCTGAATTGCAATTTCCCCCAACGTGATTCCTACCCCTTCTTTTATTTTTTGCGAAAGCACTTTTCCCCCCTCTGACATTCTCTGTGCATTACCCACCCCGCGGGGCACCAACGTAAGTTCCCTGTGAGCAGGAGCGTTGTCAGTTTTGTTCACTTTTATATCAATCGCCAGCATCCAAAAACAGCGCCTGCCGCATAGTAGGTGCCTGGTAAACATTTGTCCAATGCGTGAGTAGAGCGGAAGGTGAGAGAACCTCAGAAGGGCGAGGCTCTGGTTTTGGTGGGGCCAGGAGATGGCGGTGCCATTTGTTGGGTTCGGGAGCACAGCGGGGAGGGCGGGTGATGTGGTTAGTTTGGGACAAGTTGAGCTAGACACGCAAATGGGGCTTTTTTCTCCCTGCACGTTCTACCGAGGGAGGCTCGGCAGGGGCGGGGACAGCGTCCGAGGCAGCCAGCCAGGCGCTGGGTCTGCGTGTCTTGCCACAGGCGTGGGCCCAAAACACGGACACACGCAGGCGCCTGCTTGGAGGCAAAAAAGCTCGGCTCCGCACGCAAACCTGGGCCCTTTGCACCGCACCCCTCCCACCCAATCCAGGAGTGTACCCAAGGCTTCGCGGCTCCTCCCTCTCCACCCTCACCTCTAGCTCTCTGAGGACTGGCTCTTTAAGAGCCCCGCCCCCGACTCCCCGCCCCCTTCGCGTGACTTTGCTGGTACCCGAGCTTGGGAATAGGGTTGTTTAGTAGTTGTTCCCGTCTCACGCAACTCCCGGGCATCGCGCCCCCGGCCAGGTGGGGCAGGGATGGGCCGCCTGACCTCTGCCCCTTGGAGGGATGTACCAGACACGTGCACGCTAGCCTGGGGAGGCATCCGTGCTGGCCCCCCGGCTCCTCGGTCCCTGGGCCCCCTCCTCTGCCCCGCCCGAGGGTCCTCCTTTCCTCGGCCACCGGGAACTGGCCGCGCAGCCCCACTCGCCTCCCGATTTCTCCGCCCCGCCGACACGCTAGCAACCCCGGGAGTCAAGAGGGAACCTGGAGGGCCAGTGTTGTCCCGGCTGGAAGTACCTCTGGTTTACAGTATTCCAAAGTGGCCCTAGAGCTAGTGAGAGCCAGGGAGCGCTCAGCGAGAGTGAGACCGCATGTTTCCAGGCATTCCTGCGTGTCTGTAGAGGAGCTGAGACTTCAGCTAGTCACCCGGGCTCTGGGGGCTCTAGGAGAACGGAGCCAGCCCATCGGCGCCGCTGGCCTTCCGGCCCCGGTGACCTCGGGGCTGGGGTCGCCGCGCTTCTCACGCGAGCCCGAGCCCAGACTCCGTAACCCGGGCGAAAGAGGTCATCACACGGCAGCCTGGCCCCGCCTGCCGGGCTCCTGTCAACTAGTAGTGAGGGGGAGGCACTTGCAAGCCTAGTGTTCCAGTGCATGCAAAAACTAGGGTGAGGGGTCCCCGGGGATGGAGGCCTTCCAATACCGTGTCTTCGGGCTGTCCTGGGACTTCTCCCTCAAATTCCCACCGCAGCGGGGTTCTGTGCTGTCCATGGGGAACCTTGGAACGGGGGGTCAGGTGTCCCCAGCCTCCACCCCTTTACGTGCTGGCACTTGGATGAGTCCCCATAGCGGGTTCTTACCTGTCCCTCTGAGTTCCCCCAATCCTGTCCTCTCCTCCACTTCCCATCCCCCTTTCCTCCCCCTTTCCCTCCCTCTTTCCCCTCCATCTTAGAGCAACCATCCCCCCACCACCCACAGCCCGCCCCTTCCTCTGTCCGAACTCCAGAGGGCGGGCCCAAGCCTGCAGGCTGTTTATATAAAGGTGACTTCACCCTCACCCTGAAGGTGACAGTTCTAGGAGTCTTCCCTGATCTTCTTTGGGGTCCTGGCTTAAGAGACCACTCATCCCAGCTCAGTTGGGGAAGTCCTCACAGCCACAGGTGAGTGCTGGGAGCTTATGGCTTGCCCTTCCCTCCCAACAAAAAGAAAATTTTGATGCCTCCAGGTTTTCCTAGGTGGCCACTGGTCTAGCACCTCAAAAAGGAGGCTAAGAGGATCCTCAGTGACCAGGCACTGCAACTCTGTATTGGGAAAACTGAGGCCAGGGGGAAGGGCAGGTATTGCCCAAGGTCCCACAGCTAGTGCTGGAATTCTAGATATCAGATGGTCCCCCCTCCAAGGACTCCAGGATTTAGTTTCCAGCTCCATTCCCACTGACTCCCTGAATGTGCTGAGGCTTCCCCATCAGGGTCACCTGGGAAGCTGGAATAAAGACACAACTGTGGAAAGCTGGGATCAGGTGCAGCCTTTTCTTCACGCGGTGTGATGAGAGAGCCTCTTCCTGGGTGGTTGGGACGGGTGGGGGGAGGGTTGGGTTCTTACCAGCTGTATGCCTGCTGTCTCTGCCCTCCCAAAGCATGGCTTGTTAGAGCCAAGATGTGCTGGCCAGGACAAAAGATGCATATCTGAACAGGGGTCCCGGGCACTGCCCTGGGCCTTCCCTATATCATTGACTGCCATCTCTGGCTTGTACTGGGGTGGGCAATCAGTATGAGGGACTGCTAGCTGCAGAGATCTGAACTATCAGTCCCTGAAAACTCACCAGTCACACTCTTTTGGCCTCATACCATCCCACTAAGGCTAGAGGCCCTTGGGGTACCTGGTGAGCAGAAGGGAACACTGTGGCATACCAAGGCCTGTCCATATTTCACTCAAGGAGTCAGGGCCTGACTATGCTTTGAGATCCAGCTCCTCCAGGGGGGCCGCCCCAGAGAGATGGCTATACAGGTAAGGTAGGAGCCAGACAACCTCCCCATCTTGGGTGGTTCTCCTGTGAGGCAACCTCACTAGTCAGACTGTGAGGTTCCGCAGGTCAGATGTGAGTTTTCTCTTCTCTGGGACCAAGCTGGGCACCCTGAATCGGAGATCATATCCCACCCCCTCTCTCAGGTGATATAACTGGAGCCCAGAAAGGCAAAATGACAACTCCAAGGCCATGTCATGGAACCTGGAATACTCAGTCTCCTCATCTCCAGCCCAGGGCACCTGGCAGATACCCCAGTCTGAGGAACAATGTCTTCATGAATTTGCACACCCTTTCTAGAACCAGCCTAGAGAGAAAGTATTATCTCCACCTCTGTTAAATCTAGATTGATTCCTAATTTCCCTTATTCCAGTCTAGCATTATCTTGCAGCCCTTATCTGGTGGGGGCTTTCCATTTATTCTCTGCTCTCTTGGTGACTGGCAAGTGAGGGAGGCTGAGATTATGCATTCATTGAGAACTGAGCCCAACAAAAACCCTGGCCTGGATCTCTGGGACTAGGAACCTCAATGTAGCTTGTCTCCAACTGCTTTTATTTTATTATTAAAAAAATTTTTTTTAATGTTTTTAATGTTTTATTTATTTTTGAAAGAGAGAGACAGCACGAGCAGGGGAGGGTCAGAGAGAGAGGGAGACACAGAGTCTGAAGGAGGCTCCAGGCTCTGAGCGAGCTGTCAGCACAGAGCCTGATGCAGGGCTCGAACCCATGAACCGTGAGACTGTGACCTGAGCCCGTCAGACGCCCAACTGACCGAGCCACCCAGGCGCCCCCTCCAATGGCTTTTAGACTATGAGTCAGTTGAACTCAGAGAGCTGAGGCTGAGTGGTGTGGTTTAGGCAGTGGTCTTCCAGTCCCCTGTCCCCTCCCTATCCTGTCCCAGGGTTTGGTCTGGCAGGATTCCCTAGACCCTGGGATGGAGCAGTAAAAAACTGAGGGTTCTGAAAAACAAAACAAAACAAAACATTTTTCATTAATGTGACAACTCTTTAAAGGGAGGTATCGGTGACAAGAGTTGAAAACTTCCCAGGGAACTTTCCCTAAGAGGTCCTGGCTCTGTCAGTGAGTCCTAGGTGGCTTTAGTCAAGTCCATGACTCCTCTGGATGGAGGTCAGTTTCCCCAAATGTGAAATGAAGCAAAAGAAGCACACAATCCCTAGTTCTCCTGATGGCAGTGTTTCCCCAAGTGTGGTGGGTAGTACTCAAGGGGATTGGGGGTGACATATGTCGATTATGTGCTTAATTAGGGGGGAAAAATCAAACCTGTACTTTCATGCAGATATTTTTGTGTGGAGTGATGCTTAGTGGGTAGATTTAAAGTTGGTTTTAGGGGCGCCTGGGTGGCTTAGTCGGTTAAGTGTCTGACTTTCGCTTGGGTCATGATCTCGCAGTTCGCGGGTTCGAGCCCCGCGTCTGGCTGACTGCCAGCTCAGAGCCTGGAGCCTGTTTCAGTCTGTGACTCCCTCTCTCTCTGACCCTCCCCTGCTCACGCTCTCTCTCTCTCCTAGAAATAAATAAAACATTAAAAAAAATAAAGTTGGTTTTAGAAGGGTGTCTGGGTGACTCAGTAAGTTAAGTGTCTGACTCTTGATATCAGCTCAGGGTCTTGATCTCATCACGGTCATGAGTTTGAGCCTAGCATTGGGCTCCCCGCTGGGCATGCAGCCTGCTAATAAAAAATTTTTTTCTTCAGTTGATTTTAGAAAAGTACAAAATAAATAACAGTACAGGTGCTATATAGTGGTCACAGACTGATGTTTGGAAAACCCTGTTTTGGTGCAGCAAGGTTCTGAAATTGGGCAGTTGGGGTTGGGAGTATGGATCCAACACTTCCTGACTGTGACCTTGCCCAAGTTACTTACCTTCTCTGAGCCTCACTAATCTACCTTATAGGCTGTGGCCAGGACTGAATGAATGACAGTGGAATTCTTGGCACACAGTGACAGCTCAACAAAGAGCTTCTCCCATCTCTTCCTTTCCTTCATGTCCAGTTAGCGGTTCTGGATGGGAAGATTTCCCCTCTCTTTGACTAGAATGCTGACACTAGGACATTGGTTCCTCACATCCCCCCCTTCTGATGTCTTCATCTTTTCCTCCCACCCCAGCTCTCAGCAGCAATCTTGAGATCTCTACAATGATGATGCTTTCTGTGTTTGGACTCTCTGTCCCCATCTCGGCCACAATGCTTCTCCTGGCCTCCGCTGTCTTCTGTCTGGTGTTCTGGTTGGTCAGGGCTCGGCAGCCTCGGGTTCCCGAAGGCCTGAAGAGTCCACCAGGGCCCTGGGGCTGGCCTCTGCTCGGGCACGTGCTGACCTTGGGGAAGAACCCCCATCTGGCGCTGGCAAGGCTGAGCCAGCATTATGGGGACGTGCTGCAAATCCGCATTGGCTCCACACCTGTGCTGGTGCTCAGCGGCTTGGATACCATCCGGCAGGCCCTGGTGCGTCAGGGTGATGATTTCAAAGGCCGACCTGATCTCTACAGCTTCTCTCTGATCACTGACGGCCAAAGTATGTCCTTCAGCCCAGACTCTGGACCGGTGTGGGCTGCCCGCAGGCGCCTGGCCCAGAACGCCCTGAAGAGTTTCTCAATTGCCTCAGACCCGGCTTCCTCATCCTCCTGCTACCTGGAAGAGCATGTGAGCAAGGAGGCTGAGTACCTCATTGGCAAGTTCCAGGAGCTGATGGCAGAGGTTGGGCACTTTGACGCCTACAGATATGTAGTGGTGTCAGTGGCCAATGTCATCTGTGCCATGTGCTTTGGCCGGCGCTATGACCATGATGACCAAGAGCTGCTTAGCTTAGTTAATCTGAGTAATGAGTTCGGGGATGGCGCTGCCTCTGGGAACCCTGTGGACTTCTTCCCCATCCTTCGATACCTACCCAACCGTTCCCTGGATTTCTTCAAGGACATAAATGAGAAGTTCTCTAGCTTCATGAAAAAGATGGTCAAGGAACACTACAAAACTTTTGAGAAGGTATAGGCTGGGGAGAGGCAAGTGGATGGTGGGGAGCAGGTAGGGTTGGGGCCAGAAGGTCAAAGGTAAATGGAGCGGGGGGGGGGGGGGGGGGGGGGGGGGAGTGTCTGGCAGGCCCTCAGGGGCCGTCCTCCCTTGGATTTTGAGGCCAGTGGGACAGTGGACTCCATCCATGCCAGGGAAGCAGAACTTTTCCTTGACTAGACTTTCTTTCCGTCTGTGAGACAGCAATATTTACTGAGCAGCCAGTCTGTGCAGAACCCTAGGCCAGTTGTTCTGGGACCAGGAAGAGTTAAAAAGTTGATCCCCTGGCCTCACGGGACAGAGAAGGGTGAAGACCATATCCAGATGACACCTCTGTCTCATGTGTTCCTTGGGCTGGGGCTGCCAGTATTCTGGGGCAGGAGAGAGCCTTGAAGAGGTGTGAGAAGCTGGGATGGAGTACGGAGGTCAGTTCATGAACAAAGGTGCTAGGGACGGTGAGGAACCAGGCCTGAATGGAGACATAGGTCTGGGTTTGGGATCTTGTTCATCTGTGGGCTCTCCCCACCCAGGGTCACATTCGGGATATCACAGACAGCCTGATTGAGCACTGTCAGGACAAGAAGCTGGATGAGAATGCCAATATCCAGGTGTCTGATGAGAAGATCGTTAATGTTGTCTTGGACCTCTTCGGAGCTGGTATGAGCTACCCCATTGTGCCTCTCCTTTGCCCAACTGCCCTGATCTGCCAAGCATTTGATTTCTTTTCCCTTTGTTTTTCCCCGGTCAGGATTTGACACAGTCACAACTGCCATCTCCTGGAGCCTCATGTACCTGGTGACAAGCCCCAATGTACAGAAAAAGATCCAGAAGGAGTTGGGTAGGTGGTGGCTTCCTTTAACACACTCAAGGCAGAGGGCCTGGCCTCTTCTGGGAAGCCCCTTCATCCGTAGTCCTTTATGTTCTACAGACACGGTGATTGGTAGGGCGCGGCAGCCCCGGCTCTCTGACAGACTCCAGCTGCCCTACTTGGAAGCCTTCATCTTGGAGACCTTCCGACATGCTTCCTTCGTCCCTCTCACTATCCCCCATAGGTGAGGTCCCATGGATCCACTGCTTTCTGATCCTGGGCCTTCCTCCAGTCCACATCCCTGATCAGGGCTGGTGGAAAGGACATGTATGGGAGGCAGGGAGATCTCATTGTAGCCCTGAGCCTGACTGAGCTTCCTTCCTCCCCAGTACCACAAGAGACACAAGTCTGAGTGGCTTTTACATCCCCAAGGGGCGTTGTGTCTTTGTGAACCAGTGGCAGATCAACCATGACCAGTAAGTTGAGAGGAGGCAGGGGAAACTCTACCCTGTCCCAAGCTGTTCCTGGGCCACTTGCCCATCCCTTACTCTTTTGGTTTGGGGTTCAACCCACTTGATGCTTCAGAGCCCCCAGGGTACCACTTCAGCTGCCTCTCTCTGGTTACAGGAAGCTATGGGGTGACCCATCTGAGTTCCGACCAGAACGATTTCTCACTTCTGATGGCACTGTCAACAAGGCACTGAGTGAGAAGGTGATTCTCTTTGGCTTGGGCAAGAGGAAGTGCATCGGTGAGACCATCGCCCGCTTGGAGGTCTTTCTCTTCCTGGCCATCCTGCTGCAGCAGGTGGAATTCAGTGTGCCACAGGGCACAAAGGTGGACATGACCCCCATTTATGGGCTGACCATGAAGCATGCCCGCTGTGAGCACTTCCAAGTGCGGGTGCGCACTTAGGTGTCAGAGAGCCCTGCAACTTAGACTCTATTTACCTGGCCTGTCTGGGCAGCCAGACCAGGGGGCTGGCTTGGGGTCTGGGTGTGGGCGGGGGGCGGTCTAAACTTTGGCCTGAAACCCACAGATATTGGTCTGGCTGATTTTTGCTGTCTGGGCTACAGGCAAGCTTAAAGGATCATGTCTGCTCCTCAACCTTGGACTTGCTCCTCTGCAGATTGACCACAGACAATGGACACAGCAGGGGCCAAAAAAAAAAAAAAAAAAAAAAAAAAAAAAGGAGCAGATGAAGTCTTCCAGAGTTTTGCTTGAGGCAGGAGGCTTGGTAGGGTTAGGAGGTCCTCAGGCCCCTGGAAACCTCGAGGGAATTCTCTAGAAACCTCTAAGCCCAGTGGCTAGCTGGCTTTCTGTAGGGGCTGACTGGTTTGAGAAACATTTATAGCAGGTCATGCCAGGGCCTGTCCAATCTCTTTGACAATTGGGAACTGTCAAGAGTGAAGGGAAGAGGCAGCTTAGGAATCTCAGGCACAGAGGTGGTCCTCCAGCTTGAATAAGGCCGAGCAGTCTGAGCACATGGGCTGGGGACACTGCAATGCCTTCTTCTGTTCTCCCTGCTGGCAGGAATAGGGCTGCATCCTGGCCTTGCAAGGACCCTGTTCCTGTCCAGGAGGGGCTGGGGGCTCATACCTATGAGGAGCAGAGTGCAGAGGGAGTGCCCAGACTCAGACATCACAGTCAGGTCTCTATGCCCAATATTAAAATGCCTTTTAAAAATGTTTATATGCATTAAACATTAAAAAATGTTTATATTTTAGCCTGCATTGTACTGGCATGCCTTCATTTATCATACGTAAGAGCTTAAGAACAATTTATTGAGTGCAATAGAGAAAATTCTAACCCAGGTATCCAGAAATGTGTAAGAAACTTCTACGTAAGCTAAATAAAGATATTATCCAGAAGTCCTGTGGTGGAAATTTTTTGATTCTTGAATGAAGCCATCACTCACCTACATGCCCACTTTGAGCCCAGTCTCATGTTGGATTTTAGCGTGGGAGAAAGAAAAGAGGGATCCATCAAGAGGGGAAGCCATGGCTCTTTGGAAGTTTGCAATCCAGCTGGGGCACAAGACTTTATCACTACACTGTCTTCCTCCTTTTCTAACTGATCATACGTTGATAAAGTACATTCTCTAGACCAGACACTGGGGGGTAAAGAGCAAATAAAACATGGTCTCTGCCTTCAGAAGCCTCCCAAACTGGTTGGAAGAACCAACTTATAAACACATCATGTAATTCATTGTGATTAGGGCTCTATCAGATAGATCACCCAGGAAGGTGAGGCTCAGAGCTGGGGCTCGCTGGGTGGGGGGGCAGGGGTGAAGTGGGCTGCTGCAGAACTTGGGGATATCTATGCAGATCCCTTTTCAAAGAATGAGAGGCATCTCACTTGGGTCTCATGGCGTTAGATTCTCAAGTCCAACAGGGAAGACTCTAGTCACAGTTTAGGGGGAAGAAGAAGATTCTCAACTCAGAAGTTGTGATCTGCTCCTCACTTCCTTGTGCAGGTTTAGGTCCTGCTCCCTCACTGGAACCCAAGGCTGGTCACAGTTGGAAAACGAAGCCTTTGGTCATTGGGTCCCACAAGCAGACTGTGGCCCAGATTTCAACATTGAATGTCCCTGTCCATCTGGGATGTCAGAGTAGTTAGTGGTGCCCATTATGGACAGAGGCTGGACCCACATAGCCAGGAGCTGTTCTGACTGAGGGACTGAGGGATGACACATCTTGGGATGTGACCTCCAGCCTAGCTTTCTTCCTCAAGCATTGTGTGATGGCCAGCAGTTGCTATTCAGGCCCTGTGCTTTCTGGCAGGGGCAGATAGAGCCAACATACCAAAAGTTTCAGTCTACTGCAAGGGATGAGCTAAAGTCAGCTGGATCAACCCTGTTTATGAGGGAAAATGAGGCATTTGATGCCCAATATTTCTTGTATTGACTTTTAAACTTTTTATTTATTTATTAAAATTTTTTTTAATGTTTTTATTTATTTCTAGGAGAGAGAGAGAGAGAGACAGCGTGAGCAGGGGAGGGTCAGAGAGAGAGGGAGTCACAGACTGAAACAGGCTCCAGGCTCTGAGCTGGCAGTCAGCACAGAGCCTGACGCGGGGCTCGAACCCACAAACCGCGAGATCATGACCTAAGCGAAAGTCGGACGCTCAACCGACTAAGCCACCCAGGCGCCCCAACTTTTAAACTTTTTAAAAAATTTTTAACATTTTAATTTATTTTTGAGACACAGAGCATGAACGGGGGAGGGGCAGAGAGAGAGGGAGACCCAGAATCTGAAGCAGGCTCCAGGCTCTGAGCTGTCAGCACAGAGCCTGATGCGGGCTTGAACCCACAATCTGTGAGATCATGACCTGAGCCAAAGTTGGACACTTAACCAGGACTGAGCCATCCAGGCGCCCCTCACTGACTTATTTTTAACTTAAAAAATAACTTGTATTATATACTATAACATAGGTTGAGCCTTGAAAACATCACAGTAAGTGAAAGAAGCCAGACACAAAAGACCACATGGTATATGATTCCATTGATATGAAATGTCTAGAACATGTAAATCTATAGACAGAAAGTAGATTAGTGGTTGCTGGGGTTGGGAGTGGGGGAAATGGAAGGTATAGGCATTTCTTTTAGAGTTGATGGAAACATTCTGGAATTAGATAGTGGTAAGAGTTGTATAATGTGACTATACTAAAAACCACTTAATTATGCAGTTTAAAATGATTAAAACAGGGGCCCCTGGGTGGCTCAGTCAGTTAAGCATCCGACTTCGGCTCAGGTCATGATCTCATGGTTCATGGGTTCAAGCCCCGCGTTGGGCTCTGTGCTGACAGCCTGTTTCAGATTCTGTATCTCCCTCTCTCTCTGACCCTCTGCTGCTCACGCTGTCTTTCTCTCTCTCTCTCTCTCTCTCTCTCAGAAAAAAATAAAACATTAAAAATAAATAAATAAATAAAATGATTAAAACAGTAAAAAAGAAAAAGTTTGCTGACTTTTGTTCTAAAAGAAAAGTGAGAGACATGGGGATAACATATGAAAAATAATTTCTGTAACTGTTCTCAGTAATCATATTGGTAATGGTAATATTAGTATTTCTTTTTGAGACTATAGTTTAATGGGGGGGGTAAAACAAATGAGTAATCAATAATAAAAATATCTGAGTTCATGATCACCTGTATCCTCAAGACTTAGGATTTTTGGTATGGAAAAAAGAAGATAGAGATATAATATAGGAAATGTTGAGTATACATATACATATATATGTATATATACAAGTGACTCTTGAACAATGTGGGGGTTCTGGGCACTGACCCCCATGCAGTAAAAAATATTCATATAACTTTTGACTTCCTCAAAACTTATAGCCTACTGTTGACCAGAAGCCTCACCCATAACATAAACAGTCAATTAATGTGTGCTTTGTCTATGTATTATATATTGTATTCTTATAATAAAGTAAACTACAGAATAGGAAATGTTTTTAAGAGACTCATAAGTGTTCTGTTTTTATATACTAAAAAAAAACAACAACACGTATAAGTGGACCCGCCCAGTTCAAACCCTTGTTGTTCAAGGGTCGACTGTGTATGTGTGCATGAGTGTGTGTGTGTGTGTGTGTACTACTATGTGTTAGAATCAATGACCAACTCATAGCAATCCCTGATGCCTAGATTACCATCCAGGTACTCTCCACTTCTCGGAGAAATGCTGGTTACAGATTTGAGGCAGGAGATATCAAAGATGAGCCCAGAAGAGCTGCTCATACCAGAGAGCAAAAGACTACCAAGAGTGGATCAATATATTTAGAAGCCACTGAAAAGGCTCCAGCAAGTCAAAGACAGGACAATTTGAGTGTCAATAATTATAACTGTCATTGACTAAAATCTATCAAATATGTTTGAATCCACGAGTTCATAAGCATCTATGTATCTGTTTTTTAATTAGCTGGTTACCTTCAGAGGAACCAGTTCAGTATCTTAACAAGTGAGAAACAAAGGCAAGATATTAAGCATTTATCCTACCTTTCCTATATGACCTATACCTACAGATAACCAAATAGTAGATAGAAAGCATCTCTTAAGTATTCCAATTAACAAATGAAAAAGAAATAATAGAATATCACTACTTTATAGCCACCAACAAATTAATGGATCTGGACATTGTACCCAACAATTGATAGCATCCTAAAAATCAGAGAAAACCAGATATGTGCTTCCTGATGAAAGAATCCAACACTGCCAAAGGTATTGCCAAAGGGATTGAACACAAGTCTAATAACTTAGCCATTGGGTCCGGCTTCCAGTTTACAATACAGAGGATTAAGAAACATGCTAGACAGAAACATAAGTGTGCAATCAGTAAATTTCAGAACTTGGGAAATTACAGGTCTGAAGGCCTGGGGTATTCAACAGAAAAATTAGAAAGAAAGAATTGGAGGGAAAACTTGTAAATCAAAAGAGACTTCAAAGATGTATAGGTGTGTCTAGGTGGCTTACTTGGTTAAGGGTTAAGTGTCCTACTCTTGATCTCAGCTCACACCTTGATCTCAGGGTCCTGAGTTCAAGCCCCGTGTTGGCCTCCATGCTAGGTATGAAGCCTACTTTAAAAAAATAAATGTATAGAATTTTAAGAAACAGACAGGGGCACTTGAGTGGCTCAGTTAGTTAAGTATCTGACACTTGATTTTGGCTCAGGTCATGATCTCACATTTTATGAGTTTGAGCCCTGTGTTTGGGTCTGTGCTGGTAGTGTGGAGCCTGCTTGGGATTTTCTCTCTCTCTCTCTTTGCCCCCCACCGCTTTCTCAAAATAAATAAATAAGCTTAAAAATACAATAGAATCTGATAATTTCATTTTTGAGTATTTATTTGAAGAAAACAAAAACCCTAACTCAAAATATACATTCCCATGTTTGTTGCAGGATTACTTAACAAGAGCCAAGATATGGAAGCAACCTAAGTGTCCGTTGACAGATGAATGGATAAAGAAGGTGTGTGTGTGTGTGTGTGTGTGCGTGCACACACACACACACAGAGAAAGAGAGAGAGAGAGAGGGAGAGAGAATAAAATGAACAAAATCTTGTCATTTGTGATGATATGGATGGACCTTGAGGGCATGATGCTAAGCGAAATATGTCAGACAGTGAAAGACAAGCACTGCATAGTTTCACTTATAAGCAGAATCAACACAAACAAATAATCAACACAAACAAACAAAT